AAAAAAAAAAAAAAAAAAAAAAAAAAAAGAAGTCTTTAGATTTATAGCTCAGCATATTCTAAATACTATGTGATGAATGATTTCTCTTATGTTCAAAAAATATTAATTTTGACCCCACTATGACTTTGGGTATTCTTCCCAGGGAAGAAGGGCTAAGAGGCTTAAACCTTACCTTGGATTTGCTGCTTTGTTTTATACGCCTTCTTGACAGAAGGATTTATTTCACTTCTGAAATATTAGCCATAATGCCCTGCTATCAGTAAGTGGATGCCCTTAGACCCAACACCAAGAGACTCTAATCTGTAAGGCATACACATGAATAGAGGACAGTCATTCATACCCAGAGCTGTTATGAATTTTTGGGAACTCCCAGGGTTATCATCTGTACTTCTCCAGAAGTCTTTGTCATGCTCTACCTTTGACTTACTTTTATTTCCTCTGCTGGATTATAAGCAATACAAAGGCAGCAATTATATCTTAATAATGTGTGCTTCCTCCAAGTATTGAAGCACAAGTTCTTGCATGTTGCCAGGCATGCCCAATGTCTTACTCCAAAATCCCACTTCTAGGACACCGTCTCTTAGGAAGAAATTACAAAAATGAACAAAATACTATTACAAGAATGCTCATTGAAGAATTCCTGATAATAATTAGTAAATAAAAATGTTTGAGAATAAACAGTGTGTTAAATATCATATAACAGAACACATAATCCTAATGATTTTCATTCCAAATTAGTTGGCAAGTAAAGATACTCATTAGGAATGACTTCATGAAGCAGAGGGGATACAGAATAGCAGGTGTAAAGTTGGCAAATGGTAGTCTAGTAGTTAAAGACTGAGGGCTTTGAAATTCAAATTCCAGTTGTATCTCTTAGGAACTCTGTGACATTTTGCAAGTTATTTAAGCTCTTGGTGCTTCACCTGCTTCATCAGTTTACTGGGAATGGTATCAATAATGCCCTCAGGTCTCTGAGGGGAGAAACAGACCAAACAGGGTGTGTGTGTACGCATACACATAAAGATTTATTTAAGGAATTGGCTCACGCAATTGTCAATGTTTGGTACATGCAAAATCTGCAGGGCAGGCCAGCAGGCTGAAGACCCGGGGAAGAGTTGTTCGAGTCTAAAGGCAGTCTGCTAACACAATTCCTTCTTGCTCAGGGGGCATTAGTATTTGTTCTATTAAGAACTTTTGCTGATTGAATGAGGCCCACCCATTGTGTCCATTGATTTAAATGTTCATCTCATCCAAAAACCACCTCCACAGAAATATCCAGAATAATGTTTGACCAAATATCGGGATCATGGCCCAGCCAAGTTAGCATATAAAATTAACCATCATAAGTCCACCCTTGTCAACTTGGTACACGTAAGCATCTCCTAAAATCATACTTCATATCTGAATGACGACAGTAACAAGATTCTCCTTCTGCTAACATGATATACCTATTCTGCATACAACCAAAAACAACTAACCCTTCCTCAGAAGAGGATGCGAAGTCTGGGTGATGTTAATGCTTCTCCTTGATAACCCATAACTTAAAAACAGTTAGAAAGTTAACAATATTTAAATACCCTAATATAAAGTCAGTACATCTTACTGTACATGATAAAGATATGAAAAGGATGAAAACAAAGCTTTGTTGTACACAGATTCATTACAAAATAGGGAAGACACATTCAGGACAATTGCAGTTTTTGTTTCTGTAACTGCTCATGTGGTTACAGCTGGTATTCATACCTACCTTCTTATTTAATACATAATACATTATCTATTATGTATTCCTTTTGCCCTCAGCAAGCTCCTCAGCTGGTTATGGTTCATTACCTGGTGTGGTGACCCAAACCTTCATTTTTGAAGGGTTTGGAGAGTAGTTTTGGCAAATTAATATCTAAAGTGTGCATTCCAGTAAGAAAAAAAAAAATACTGCTCCTTCCTTGATGGAAGCAATCCATGTATCAACCCACCACCAGGGAATGGTACCATACTGGGGAACCAGTGTTGGTCTTGGCTGCTGGCAAACTGGGCACTCAGCAGTGTCTGTAGCCAGTTTGGCTTTGGTAAGCGGAAGTCCATGTTGCTGAGCCCATGCATAACTTCCATCACTGCTGTCATGACCACTTTGTTCATGAGCCAATGGGTGATGACAAGGGTGGCTGGGGAAAGAGGCCGACTGGTATCCACAGAATGGGTCATCCTATGCACCGATTATTAAAAATCCTCCTCTGCTGAGATTACCCTTTGGTAAGTATTCACATAGGGCACAAATATCTTTATATTTTTTACCTGTTCGGAGAGGCCCATATCTCTTTCCCAGAATTCCTTGTCACCAGTTTCTGGGGTTTTGGTTTTTTTTTTTGAGACAGAGTCTTACTCTGTCCCCCAGGCTGGAGTGCAGTGGCACGATCTCAGCTCACCGCAACCTCCGCCTCCTGGGTTCAAGCGATTCTCCTTCCTCAGCCTCCCGAGTAGCTGGAACTACAGGCACATGCCACCACACATGGCTAATTTATTTTTAATAGAGATGGGGTTTCACCATGTTGGCCAGGCTGGTCTCAAACTCCCGACCTCAGGTGATCTGCCTGCCTTGGCCTCCCAAAGCACTGGGATTACAGGTGTGAGCCACTGTACCTGGCCATCAGTTTGTAAATAATGTTCCTTCCAAGTCCCTGACCATCCAGTCAGACCACTGGCTATAGTGCGTGAGGTGGTATATAATGTCACATCTGGCTATTTCTACTTCGAGGAAAAATGAACAATGAGATGCAGTGCCCAAAGTTCCAACCACTGGGAGAATTTCCCTTCCCCACTGTACTTCGGGAATGTCCCAGAACAGAATTGTAGTGCTGTCCAGGTGTTGTCTGCCTATCACGCAAAACCATCTGTAAACCAGGCCTAAGCCTTTTCTAACTCTAATGGAAATCCCCATGAGGCCACGAGTGCAGGCTAGGAGAGTACTGTAGAAGGAGGGGGAACCATGGGCTTTGGGCCACTTCTTCCCATAATATGTGCCTTCAGGGCCTGCTTAGGCCTGATCACATATATCCCACTTACATTTGATGATGGGAGTACTACTGTGTACACCACCCAATTTAATAATGTGGTGGGTCAGATAACACCCCTTTCGTGATGGGTAGTACAGGTTGCATGGTAACTTGGTGGCCCATGATTAAATGTTCAGTCTCTACTAAGGTCCCATAGCAGCCAAAACTGCCTTGAAAGAGTTGTTTTCATGGCCGGGCACGGTGGCTCAAGCCTGTAATCCTAGCACTTTGGGAGGCCGAGGCGGCTGGATCACGAGGTCAAGAGATCGAGACCATCCTGGTCAACATGGTGAAACCCCGTCTCTACTAAAAATACAAAACATTAGCTGGGCATGGTGGCGTGTGCCTGT